TTGAAATTATGTTTTCTTGTTAAATAAGCAAATCGGTTTTCATAATTTCGTAGGCTGTTTATGTTATATTTCTTGTTGCAGAAGCGTGCAAGTATGGAGAGCTTCAGCAATACGCATAGATTAATACTGTGTAGGTTAATTAGTTAATTAAGTTTTTTTATAATGTCTTTGTTTCTGTGCATCAGAGCAAGGTGAAATCAGTATGAAATCCGGTATAGTGTTTATATCGTCCTCAATTTAACCACCTTGTTAAACAACGGATGGGTCCCATGGGTGGAATTGTATATGAGGTTTTCCAACTAATTGAATGATGGCGCTTAGAAACAACGGATAGTTCAAACGATTCGTCGTGGATGGATAAATTGTGATTTGATCCAAAGTGCTGGAGATTGTTAGGTATCATGAATCAACTAATTAAGTCGATTTGTGACCAAGAAACAAAGCTCTGTTTGGCCTCGACTAGTTTAAATTCAGTAGTAATATATAAGAAAAAGAATTTGAATCATAAACTGAGTTAAAAGTTGTATAAAAAAACCATAAATTCTTACTCCTGTTCGGATACAAATCAAAAAATCATTTATTAACCAGAGTATAGACAATCGAATCCGTGTACAAAATATACAACAAAAACAACATACAGAAGGTCACAAAAATCAGAGAACGATCAAGCTGTGTAGCTGTATATGTACGTAGCCCTACTGTTTTCCGGTAGTCTTCTGGCACTTGTCCTTGATCCAGTGGAACCCAAATTGAGTCCCGACCTTCACTTTGTTCATGCCGTTTGCTGCAACTGCCTTCGTCTTCCCAAACCCTTCCTCCACTTTTTTACCATATTTCGCCTTTGCACCGCCGCCGGAGCTCTTGGTGTCGGAAGCCGGAAGAGGATCGGGGTTGTAGTCCCACTGATCGGCCCATGAGTTTTCGTGGTTCGGGATGCTTGCCATTGCTCGCTGAGTAATTGTTTCCAATTTAGTAAGTAAAAATAATGATGGTTTTGGTTTGGGAAGGATTTAGGTCTATATATAACCACATATTATATGCTTTGTATGACAGCCTGAATTGAAAGCGCGGTTCTTCCATGTATTTTTAAAAGCGAACACGTTGTTCATGTGACGACGACTCGCTTGATTACAATAAGTGAGGTTCTTCTAGATACAGGAAAATTAATTAAATTTAAATAAGTGAGGTTTTGGGACCTTCTGGGAATTAACAAAAAGGAAATCATTTGGTTAGGAACCGTGGAAGTTGTCAAATATGGACTACTGATGTCGAAGGTTCCATTTCCTACATGTATGTGTATAAATTAATGGATGATGTTTATCTCAATGTACATACAATTGTAATAAAGTATTGAATTATGATAGAAATATATATGATGCAAATCAAGACTTTTGACCTTTCTTATAAAGGAAATTTTATTTAAACCATGTAACTTTTTTCTACCCCAAACTTAAATTTAAATTGTTAATTCTCTATTTTACCGGATTGCATAATTACTATTAAGTACAAAATGAAATTAATAATAAAACTCAAATTTATCAATAAACCCATTAAACAGTATCATCACTTTTTGTTTATCCTACTACCATCCCTTCTATTGTTTTTCTCTGCCGGTGCTTGTTTGCATCCCAAAACACCATTTGTGCTCACGTATCATTATATAAATGAAGGAAAATTAAATTTTTATTGTGTTCACGTGTCATTATATAAATGGAGGAAAATTTTATTTTTTAAGTTAATTTTTTAATACAAGTATCTCACCGCTTATAGTGACACGTAGATCTTCCTCCTCTTCGTCGTCGGTTCTGAAGTTGATCTGGAATCTTCCCCGTGATCGTGTTTGCGAGAGTATGGCTTGTCTGCAGGCCAAGTCCAAGTTGGGGACAGGAAAAACATGTTCTCGGAACTTGGAAGATCCGCTAGCCGCAAGATGTTGCTGCTGCCAGAATCTAAGTTGAACACTCCGAATCGGGATAGCATTCTTGCTAGCTCATGCTTATATGACTTCTCATTCCAAGGCTTGTTGATATACATGCTTCTCCCCTCGCATCCAGGGAAATCCCGACTAGACACGAAGTAGCAGCCGTCATCCCCCAGCACCAATATTCGATCATCCAAAACTTCCGCCCCAAGCTCAACCCATTTCTTCTCATTTGCCTCCAACTTGAAGATCCTAAATCTGTGGCCAACAGTTTTACATTTGTGGTTGTAATCCGAATGTCTATCAACTAAGAGTAGGTCTCCCATCGACTCCACCAAGGGCTTCTTGTGACCGTTGCACGAGTGGTTGGCTAGCGGAGATGCAATCAGTTTCCAGGTACGTTACTGCATAAGAAAATATTTTAGCCTAGAAAGTTTAAAAGTTTAATGAATTTATGTTGTTTTTTTTAATTTTTGAATGGGTGTAAATATAAATTTGTATATTGAATTGGGTTTATGAGGGTAGTTTAGGTAATAAATTTGGGTTTAAAGAGATATTTTTAGTTTAGTAAAAAATAATATGGGTGTAGAGAGTAAGCTGAGTGTAGAAAAATGTTATTTAGGTTCAAATAAAATTAATTTTCCTATAATTCCTTGGCTTGTTTGTGTTCATATTGGCTTATTTGTTTGTTTAATGCCACATATAGAACATTACATGTATACAATCATCTTCAATCAGCGGCTACAATAAGCAATTAATTTGATTCTACAATTGATCTTTCTTCCTGCGTGCTTCTTCGGTTTCGTGGCGGCGGTTGATTTGTTGGTCTTTGGAGGATGATGCGGCCTTTTTCTTCTTCAGTTCTAGGGTTCTTGCCGGTGTAATATCCTAGTTTAGGGTTATTTATGTGTTGTTTGTTTTTTGTGCGGGTTAGGCTCAAAGGCTGGATTTAGGCTTTGTCTTCTATGTTTTCGCAGCCCATCTTTTCTTTTGTGCTTAAATTGTATTTTGGTTTTTGTTGTACTTGTTATTTGTTGGTAATGTAATTTGTTATTTGTTGGTAATGTAATTTACCCTTTGTCAAATAAAAAAAAATAAACATTTGTAATTCTTTGTTGATGCACAAAACCAGAGGTCTTAGAACAACGTAAATCCGACCGTGAATCTGCAAGAAAGTAAATAACACAAGATGTATCGTGGTTCACCCCAAGGTTTGGGTTACGTCCACACTGATATTGTATTTCTGAGAGGATTGTGAGGTAGAGAGTGTGAGGATCTCAAGCCTAAGAATTGGCCTCTGGAAGTGAGGAGGCCCTCCTAATTGTGAGGGTGATGAGTCCTTTTTATAGAATAAGGGCTCCTCACTTATTACATATTTGCCTCTTCCTTTATTACATAATTACATTTAAGTCCCCCGAGTACATGTACGATATCTAAATACGGAGGCCCTAAGTATGGTATAAACAATAGTCCCCCAAGTCTTCAATCAAGAGAGTCTTTTGGCTGGAAACTTGAAATTCAGTCCATGTGTGGGTCGAAGTAACTAGATGTTATCTTGAACTGATGCTCGATGTGAGGCGGTGCTCAATCTGAAATGATGCTCAACTAGAAGTAGCACATGCTGCGAAGCTGCTCGGCTCGTGGCTTATGTTGCCTTGGTTGGCTCGGCTTGTGGCATTGAAGGTGAGTGAGTCCCTTTTATAGAATAAGGGATCGCTCCTCAATACATGAATGATGGGTTAGAGTTGACGCTCTCTAATGATGGTGAGGGAGTCATTTTTATAGAATAAGGGCTCGCTCATCAATACATAAATCATGGGCTAGAGTGATGCTCGCGGTGAAGCGGTTGCTCAGCTGGCGGCGATGCTCTCTAATGAAGGTGAGGGAGTCCCTTTTATAAAATAAGGGCTCGATCTTCAGTACATGAATAATGGGTTAAGAGTGATGCTCGTAGCGAGGCGGTTGCTCAGCTGGCGGCGATGCTCTCTAATGAAGGTGATGGAGTCCTTTTTATAAAATAAGAGCTCGCTCCTCAGTACATGAATAATGGGCTAAGTCCCCCAAGTATTTTTCATAAGGCCCAGTTGATGCCTAATATATGGTACATAATGTAGTCCCCCAAGTCTTTGGTCAATAGAGTCTGTTGGCTGGAGACTTCAAATTGAATCCATGTATGGGCTGAAGTGGCGGTTGTTTGGAGGCGGTATTTGTATACCCTGCACTGAAGCTTTGTAGTGAAGCTTTGCAAGTGAAGCTTTGAAGCTGAAGCTTTTGTAAATGAAGCTTTTGAAGCTGGAGCTCTGTAAATGAAGCTTTTGAAGCTAGAGCTTTTGTAAATGAAGCTTTTGAAGTTAGAGCTCTGTAAATAAAGCTTTTGAAGCTAGAGCTCTGTAAATGAAGCTTTTGAAGCTGAAGCTCTGTAAATGAAGCTTTTGAAGCTAGAGCTTTTGTAAATGAAGCTTTTGAAGCTGATTGACAAGAGTGATGCTTATGAATGTTTATGTTGATTGACATGAGTGATGCTCATGGATGTTGACATGAGTGATGATCATGAATGTTTATGTATGATTGTCATGAGTGATGTTCATGAATGTTTATGTATGAATGACATGAATGATGCTCATATATAATTTTGGAGTACTGGACGTATTTTTGATCACCTGGTTGGTGATAATAGCGGCAGGTTGCCGAATAATTTTGGGAGTACTGGGCGTACTTTTGATCACCTGGTTGGTGATAATAGCGGTAGGGTGCCGAATAAATTTGGAGTCATAGGGCCTGGCTTTTTTGGGCATACGAGCCTTCGCCCTCCATATGACATTCCAGCCCATTATTTTGGGCTTGCCGTTTTTTTAATTACCCTCTGATGGGGTTTATACAGATGTCTCCGAAAGATAATAAAAATAAATTACATCATTAAAAAATAAATCTGACCTTTTGCTCAATGGGTCACGCCCATAATGCTATCACCACCGCGATTATGTCTGCTTCTTTTTATCTTCTTTTGCTTTCTGCTTTGCTTTTGTGGGAGTGGTTGAGCTGTCTGAGGGATAAATCCATGCTTTTCCTTTTCACATGCAAACATACTCACATGCAGCCTTTCTTTTTCTTTTCACTTTCTGCTTTGCTCTTTTCTTTTTCTCTTTTTCTGAAATATTCTTTAATAACATCATCTTTTTCTTTTTCTATTATGTTTCCACTGCCTCTCCGATTTCTTGAGTATGGGGTCCTCTGACTCGAGCACATTCTCACCATTTTCGTTGTCAGTGGTGTTACCCTACTCATTCAAAACTTGACCAGACAGCAAAATATATGACTCAAACTCCCACAGTGGGAAAGCATAAGAAAGATCATAAAATACTTGGGGTCGGACACGTAATGATGACAACAGAAATGGAGTCCTGTCCATGCACTCGGGGTGGGACACGTAATGATGACAAAGTAAAATAAAAAAGAAAAAAAAAGAATCTTATCTGAGCGGTAAGTCCATCATTCTGTCAGCTGCAAAGGTCTTGAGCTGCTCAAGAACGGAGATATTGGAAACGACAGACTGAACCGCAGCAGCAGAAGCATCGGAAGAAGCAGCCATCTCGCACCTCACTCCTCTTTGAATTTGGAGCTTTCGGCTCCTAATAGGCCTCATAGAACCCACCAACCAGGAACCGCTAGAGGTCCTGGACGACGTGGTTGCAGACGACGATGAAGATCTCGCTAAAGGGTCTTTGCATAGTGATTTCCCGCTCCAGCTTGAGCTCTCTCATCTCCTCCGTTTTGAGAGCCCGCCTTCATGCAAGCAAACCCCGCAATAATCTCCTCCTTGATCCTCTCTTTCCCCAGCTGGCGCTCGGTCATCTCGTCGTAGACGGACCTCGGGTTGTGAAATGGGTCGAAGACGATGATAGAGTAAGCGCTGGCGTCTTCGGCGAGCTTGGCTTGCTCGAGGGTGTTAACTTCGACAATGGCGCTGCTGCGAGGAGATCTGGAGATTTGGTTCCTGACTGAAGTTGTACTGCAGCGCGGCCATGGCTGGTTCAGAGAGAGTTTTGCGAGGGTTGGGTGACTGCAGCGATGACGCAGACCATGTCGGAGGCGGAATGGACGACAAAGATGCATGACTCGACATGAAGCTCCTCAAGAATGGCGAGAAGGTCGTAGGTGTAGCCGAAGAGGGTGGAGTAGCGCTCGAAGTCGAAGTATTCAGGGTTGGTGGTTCCGGCGCCCATGTTGTTGTACATAACGACGCGGTTCTCGTGGACGAGGTGGGGGACGAGGTGTTTCCAGACTGATTGATTGGTGCCAAAACTGTGGGCCAAGACTAGAACTTGCTGACCCAACCCTAAGACCCGCGCGTTATGAGCTTCTTCCATTATTCCCATTATGTCTCTCTCTTTCTTCTTGCTCTCTCTGTTGTTTGTTGGTTTGGTTTTTAGGTTTTGCAGATCCACGACGGAGGTGGAAAAAATGAAAGAGAACCGACACAACTTTTCGTGTCGTTTCCCACAGACGGCGCCAAATGTTGATGCACAAAACCGGAGGTCTTAGAACAACGTAAATCCGACTGTGAATCTGCAAGAAAGTAAATAACACAAGATGTATCGTGGTTCACCCCAAGGTTTGGGCTACGTCCATACTGATATTGTATTTCTGAGAGGATTGTGAGGGAGAGAGTGTCAGGATCTCAGGCCTAAGAATTGGCCTCTGGAAGTGAGGAGACCCCCCTAATTGTGAGGGTGATGAGTCATTTTATAGAAGAAAGGCTCGTCACTTATTACATATTTACCTTTTCCTTTATTACATAATTACATTTAAATCCCCCAAGTATTTGTACGAGATCTAAATACGGAGGCCCTAAGTATGGTATAAACATTCTTCATTAATTAGTTTTTGCTAATCAATTTTTTTTATTACAAACAATATTACAAGTTTAAACTAGACTAAGGGGAAGGGAAGAATTTAAAATTCAAACACAATTGGGTTGAAGATGAAGATAATACCCACTACTTGCATTACGTAATCAATCTAGACTAGAGTATATATATTTAGGTGTATTTTATTTGGTGAGTTGTTATTGACACTTAAAAAAAAATAATCATTTGGTCTCCAAATTATTTTTTTATTCTTAAAATGCAAATGGCCGCTTTCTCGCTTGGGTAGATGTCCTAATTAACATATATATCCACCCAAAAAAAATATATTAGAAATATACATGTAACCCACCCCCCCCAAAAAGTAAATAACACAAGATGTATCGTGATTCACCCCAAGGTTTGGGTTACGTCCATACTGATATTGTATTTCTGAGAGGATTGTGAGGGAGAGAGTGTCAGGATCTCAGGCCTAAGAATTGGCCTCTGGAAGTGAGGAGACCCCCCTAATTGTGAGGGTAAGGAGTCATTTTATAGAAGAAGGGCTCGTCACTTATTACATATTTACCTTTTCCTTTATTACATAATTACATTTAAATCCCCCAAGTATTTGTACGAGATCTAAATACGGAGGCCCTAAGTATGGTATAAACATTCTTCATTAATTAGTTTTTGCTAATCAATTTTTTTTATTACAAACGATATTACAAGTTTAAACTAGACTAAGGGGATGGGAAGAATTTAAAATTCAAACACAATTGGGTTGAAGATGAAGATAATACCCACTACTTGCATTACGTAATCAATCTAGACTAGAGTATATATATTTAGGTGTATTTTATTTGGTGAGTTGTTATTGACACTTAAAAAAAAAAAAATCATTTGGTCTCCAAATTATTTTTTTATTCTTAAAATGCAAATGGCCGCTTTCTCGCTTGGGTAGATGTCCTAATTAACATATATATCCACCCAAAAAAAATATATTAGAAATATACATGTAACCCACCCCCCCCCCCCCCCAAAAACCAAAAGACAGCCCAAGAAACAGGGAACTGGCCTAGGACAAGTCTTTACTAAGATACATCTTGGTGGGGCTGACCTTCCTTGCAAATAAATATCATAAAAAAGGATAACTTTAGAAACTAGGTTTTCTGCATGTGTTTTCGCGCATACAAAAGACCTCTTTTGTTTTATCATTCACGAATGGAGAGAACGAAATTACTCGGTGGTTTTTTCGCAATGAACGGAAGAAATTGAAAAAGGGGAAAACAAATTATCTGTTTTGGTGTGCAGATAAACAAACTCCTTAATAATGTCCAGCGTTCAAATGGAGAGAACCAAACTGTGCTGCCTGGGACACTTATATCCCAAAAGTGCAGAAGACGATAAACTAATCAAAATAAACAAAGAGACTGTTCCATGAGCGACTGTTAGTAATATATGAACGTGCTACTGTAATTAAAATCGCTTTATAAAATATACAAATACGTGCCAACTAATAGTTGTACAAGTTAACCTACATAAAGACCCCATAACATGATTGGCTGTGTGCGCGACCAACAGAGAATATGATTGATATAGAAAGATGAATCTTCGGGGATGGGGCCAACCAGATGTACATTTCAAAACCAGTTATTTTGTTCCACGTCGACGTTTATGAGCTCAACAACATCCACAACTCCTCCTGTGGATCGATCGTTACGTGATAAGGAGTGCAAAAGCAGTTCAACCCCCAACTTTGACCCTTTTTCACTTTCAATTTGCATGTCAACACTAAATTAAACCATCCAAGTCAAAACATATATCCATCTTCCATTCATTTTCCTTTTTCTTTCTATTTCTTTTTGTTTTCACACATGTACTGTATCCATCATTTTAATTTTCATCAATACAAATATGTAGAATCAGATAAAAATTAATTTGGATAGCGATGCTTGATTAGGATCATGCTGGTATTGGTTAAAATCAGTGTAGTAATTATTAAAAGTTGTGCGTACTTAACTTTCTTAAAAATAATGTTGAATATTTTATCAAATTCCAGTGTATAGAGTTTTTTTTTATCATCAAATCATGTTCGTTGCGTTCTTAACAAATGATGTAAAAAATAATGTAACCGTTAGCATTCGAATGCAAAATACATTATAGCATGCTATAAAATCCTATAAGAATCTAGAAAGAAGCTTCTATCACACAAGCATTCGAGGTTCCGTTTGAAACCCACACCTAAAAGAAAATAAAAATCAAACACGCAATTCAATTTACTAATTTTGATTGACAAAGACTTCTAAAGACATATTCACCAAGTTGGACAAATATTCAAGGTGAAATCAGTATGAAATCCGGTATAGTGTTTATATCGTCCTCAATTGAACCACCTTGTTAAACAACGGATGGGTCCGATGGGTGGAATTGTATATGAGGTTTTCCAACTAATTGAATGATGGCGCTTAGAAACAACGGGTTCAAACGAGTCGTCGTGGATGGATAAATTGTGATTTGATCCAAAGTACTGGAGATTGTTATGTATCATGAATCAACTAATTAAGTCGATTTGTGACCAAGAAACAAAGCTTTGTTTGGCCTCGACTAGTTTAAATTCAGTAGTAATATATAAGAAAAAGAATTCGAATCATAAACTGAGTAAAAAGTTGTATAAAAAAACCATAAATTCTTACTCCTATTCGGATACAAATAAAAAAATCATTTATTAACCAGAGTATAAACAATCGAATCCGTGTACAAAATATACATCAAAAACAACAAACAAAAGGTCACAAAAATCAAAGAACGATCAAGCTGTGTAGTTATGTACGTAGCCCTACTGTTTTCCGGTAGTCTTCTGGCACTTGTCCTTGATCCAGTGGAACCCAAATTGAGTCCCGACCTTCACTTTATTCATGCCGTTTGCTGCAACTGCCTTCGTCTTCCCAAACCCTTCCTCCACTTTTTTACCATATTTCGCCTTTGCACCGCCGCCGGAGCTCTTGGTGTCGGAAGCCGGAAGAGGATCGGGGTTGTAGTCCCACTGGTCTGCCCATGAGTTTTCGTGGTTCGGGATGCTTGCCATTGCTCGCTGAGTAATTGTTTCCAATTTAGTAAGTAAAAATAATGATGGTTTTGGTTTGGGAGGGATTGAGGTCTATATATAACCACATATTATACGGTTTGTGTGGTAGCCTGAATTGAAAACGCGGTCCTTCCATGTATTTTTAAAGGCGAACACGTTGTTCATGTGACAACGACTCGCTTGATTACAAGATAGGGTTCTTTCTAATTACAGGAAAACAATTAATTAAATTTAAATAAGTGAGGTTTGGAACCTTCTGGGAATTAAGAAAAAAGAAATAATTTGATTAGGAACCGTGGAAGTTGTCAAATATGGACTACTGATGTGAAAGGTTCCATTTTCTACATGTATGTATATAACGTAATGGATGATGTTTATCTGAATGTACATACAGTTGTAATAAAGTAATGAATTATGATGGAAATCAAGACTTTTGACCTTTCTTATAATTCCTTGGCTTGTTTGTGTTCATATTGGCTTAGTTCAGGCATTTTATGCAAAGAGATTTTCACTTTTTTTTAAAAAAATGGGGATTAGATGTGGGGTTTACTTCACATCGAATTTTAATAACTCGAACGGTTTATTTTGTAAGTTTCGATTTATAGATAATTCTTGTAAAAATTCATTTCAATTTGAAACAATTTACCTATTTAATTATCAAGATAAAATTTCATTGTTTCTTATATTACAGAGTATTAGTTAATTTCTTTGAATTCAATTAGATATCTTAAATATCTCCGATTTGGCTAATATTTTGCAAGAATGATTTATGAGGGGCAACTTAAAAAATAAATGGTCTGAATCGTTAAAGTTCGATATGGTGTGAGCTATATAACTAATCTTCATTTTTTATAAAAAAAAAAATTGAGGATTTCTTCTTTTAAAGGTTTCCTGTTTGTTTAATGACATATATGGAACATTACATATATACTACAATCATCTTCAATCATCGGCTACAATAAGCACTTAATTTGATTCGACAATTGACCTCTCTTCCCACGTGCTTCGTCGGTTTTGTGGTGGCAGTTGATTTGTTGGTCCTTGGAGGTTGATGCGGTTTTTTTCGTTTTTTAGTTATGGGGTTCTTGCTGGTGTGGTCTCAGGTGCTCGTGGGAGCTGATGGTTCGCATTAATCGTTGTGTGGATTTCTGGCGACGGCGGCTGCAGCTTCAAGAGCCCTAATTTAGGGTTATTTATGTGTTGTTTTTATTGTGCAGGTTGGGCTCAAAGGCTGTGTCTTTGTAGGCCATCTTTTTTTGTGTGCTTAAATTGTATTTGGGTCTGTGTTGTACTTGTACTTTGTTGTAATGTAATCTACCCTTCGCCAAAAAAATAAAAACATTTGTTAATTTTTCAATAATTAATTTTGGCTAATTTTTTTATTTTAGAAGCGATACTACAAGTCTAAACTAGACTAGAGGAGGAGCATTTAAAA